TGGGCACCATCAACTTTCTTCACCACATTTGCTTATGCACCTGCTTTGTTGTCAGCAATCGTGTTGGAAAGGTGTGCATCATGGAATGCCAATTTAATAGAAGAAAGTGAGATATTTTTAAGAGAGTTTAGACGGAAAGGACATTATGTTAACTCATGAACAGAGGTGAGACATTCTGGGAATTGGGTCTCCATGAGTGGGGCTGTGGTAATTGGATACATGTGCAACACGTGTTCAAAAATGGAGTCCAAGGTAAAGACTTCTTGGTAGGCTCATCATTTATTAGGGGTGATGCACATGCTCCAGGCAGCTAGTTCCTCAGTTTCACGTCTACCCTGGTATTCAATGCTCATGGGTTCACTTGGTCCCAGGTGTCTGATCTGCTCCTGCTCTTAGGACTAGTTTAAGCTGGTCAAATGTGCAAATGCTGCAGAGCAAGGGTGCGGAGCTACAGCACATTATTCTCGCAGGGGAGAAACACACACATTATTCTTATAGGAGAGAAAAGCATATTATTCTTGCATGGGAGGAGGAAAATTAAAAAGTAGTGATATTCCACACATTAAAATGTTAACTGGATGTGGGGTATGATTGAACCCATAGGTGTTAGCTTGGGGAAATCCCTCAAAGCCATCTGAACTTGAAAAACGGGGGTGGAATAGCCAGCCTCTTTCCTATTGTTGTTCTTAGGTGCCATCGAGTGGGTTCCGACCCTTAGTGACCCTATGGTCAACAGAATGAAACACGGCCCAGTCCTGCACCATCCTCACAATTGTTTTTATGCCTGAGCCCATTGTGGCAGCCACTGTGCCAATCCACCTCATTGAGGGCCTTCCTTTTTTTCGCTGCCCCTCCACTTTAGCAAGCATGATGCTCTTCTCCCGGGACTGGCCTCTCCTGACACCATGTCTAAGCCCTGCCATTTTTGCCTCTAAGGAGCACTCTGGCTGTACTTCTTCCAAAACAGATTGGTTTGTCCTTTTAGCAGTCTATGGTATTTTCAATATTTCTCTCCATTACTACAATTCAAATGCATCAATTCTTATTTGGTCTTCCTTAATCAATGTCCAACTTTCACATGCATATGAGGCAATGAGAAATATCATGGTTTGGGTTAGGCATACTTTAGTCCTCAAACTAATACCCTTGATTTTCTATATTCTAAAGGGTGCAGTAGATTTACGTAAAAACTCATCTTTTCAGGGTGCGATGTAACAATGATGAGAAATACAACTTTCCTCTAGTTCCTAAATGTTTTCTCCCCGCTCCCACTACCATGACTCGAATTCGATCTTGCAAGTCTGGCTAGACCAGAGGAGGT